GAGCCCTGGGACCCCCATGCCAGAGACACTGGGACAGCCAGGGACACCTAGGGGATCCCCTGTGACAGCTGCCCAGTCAAGCCCCTTCCTCCTCCCGGCTGGAGACTCCTTGTCACTGCTAGGAGACACCCAGTGCCCTGGCCTGGGGAAGTCCCTTCCACCCCAGAGGCGGTCCCAGAAGAGACCAATGTGAGCCCCAGAAGCAGCAGCTAAACCAAAATCAAAACAACCCCACAAAGCCCTCAGATTAAACCATTGGAACCACAGCTCACAAAGGAGGCCAGGACCTGCATGCTAAAATACAGTAGGGGGACTGCAAGCTGAAATAGATAAAGCAAGTCAGACCCAGTGTCTCATAACATGAGAGACAAAATGCCAGGTACAACCACCCACGATACCAATAAACAAAAAATCACATTCTGAATTTTAGAAGATAATCAGTTGATGACAACACTCTGATACAACCATATATCTGAAGTTAAAATTATCTAACAAAGAGTTTAACGCAGCTGTCATTAAAATTCTTCAGCAATAAATTGCAAGTTGCCTTGAAAGAAATTAAAAATATTTAGAAGTTACAGAAGCTATCCAAATCAAAATCATAGAACTGAAAATTCCCAACAATGGAACGCTGGTTGGAAAGAAATTTTTAAAAATCACCACAAAGAAATAGAAGTTACAAAAACTATCCAAATCAAAATCATAGAACTGAAAAATTCCAAAAATGGAACACTGATTGGATGGGTTCAACGGTAAAGTGGAGAGGACAAGGGAGATGATCAGCATACTTGAGAAAAAATTAATAGAATATACCCGACCTGAGCAACAGAAAAATAGAATGAAAACAAATAAAGAGACTCTCAGGGACCTGTGAGACAATAACAAAAGGTGTAATAGTCGTACCATTGGAGTCTCAGACAGGTGAGAGAAACAGAGTGTGACACAGTTTGGCTGTGCCCCCACCCAAGTCTCATCTTGAATTGTAGTTCCCATAATCCTCACATGTGGTGGGAGGGACCTGGTGGGAGGTAATTGAATCATGGGAGCGGTTTCCCCCATGCTATTCTCATGATAGTGAGTAAGTTCTCATGAGATCTGATGGTTTTATAAGAGGTTTCGCTCTTTGTTCGGCTGTCATTCTTCTCTCTCCTGGCGCCATGTGAAGAAGGACATGTTTGCTTCCCTTTCTGCCATGACTGTAAGTTTCCTGAGGCCTTCCCAGACATGTAGAACTATGAGTCAATTAAACCTTTTTCCTCTGTAAATTACCCTGTCTCAGGTATTTCTTCATAGCTGCATGAGAACGGACTAATATGGTGTCTGAAAAAGTATTTGAAGAAATAATGGCTGAAAACTTTGCAAGTCTGGTGAAAGACACAAACCTACACATACAACAAAATGAACCAACCCTAAATGAAATACACAAGACAAACAACAGCAGCAACAGAAGAAACTCACAAACTCGTCCCGATTAAACTTCTGAAAATGAAAAACAAAGAAAAAATCTTGAAAGCAGCCAAAAAGAAGCAGCACCTGACCTACAACGGAACCCTAAGTTGAATAATAGCAGTTTTTTTTTTACCCCAAAACTTGAAACAAAAAGAAAGTGGCCCAGCATTTTTGTAAGTGCTTAAAGAAGAATTGTGAGCTATGAATTATATAGCCAGTGAAACTGTCCTTCAGGAATGAGGAGGAAATGAAGAAATTCTCAGAGGAAGGAAAATTAAAAGGATTTGTTGATGGCAAATTTAATCTTGCAAGGTTTTTACTGAATCTCTTTAATTGTGATAATACTTAAAAGTAGAATATTTTACCCAAAACTGTCTACAGATTCAATGCAATCTATATCAAAATTCCAGTGGCATCACAAAAAAAAAAAACCTTAAATACCCAGAGCAATCTTGAGCAAAGTGAATCAAGCCAGGGTCATCACACGACCTGATTTCAAAACCTAAAACAAAGCTATAGCAATAAAACAGCATGGTACTGGCATAAAAACAGCAGAAACATAGATCAGCGAAACAGAACAGAGAGCACAGAAATAAATCCATATATCTGTGGTCAACTGATCTTTGAAAAAGTTGCCAAGAGAACCTAATGAGGAAAGGACAGTCTCTTCAATAGATGGTGCTGGGAAAACTGAATATTCACATGTAGAAGAATGAAATTAGACCCTTATTTCACTCCATATATAAAAATGAACAGAAAGTGTTTACAGACCTAAGACCCCAAACTGTAAAATTACTGGAAAAAAAACCATAAATATTAAATAAAGACAGAGTCTAGCTCTATGTCCCAGGCTAGCATGCAGTAGCATAATCATAGCTCATTGCAGACTCTAACTCCTGGGTTCAAGAGATCCTCTTGCCTCAGCCTTCCAAGTATCTAGGGCTACAGACGTACACCACTGTGGCCAGCTAATTAAAAATTAAAAACTGCTTTTGTAAAGATGTGGTTTCACTTTGTTGCCCAGGCTGGTATTGAACTCCTGGTTTCAAGCAAGCCTCCTGCCTCGGCCTCCCAAAATACTGGGATTACAGGCAGAAGCCACCACGCCCAGCTGGAAAAAGCTTCTTGACATTGGTCTGGGCAAAGATTTTTTGGATATGACCCCAAAAGCCCAGGCAACAAAACTGAACATAGACAAATGGAATTGCATCAAACTAAAAAGCTTCTGCACAGTAAATCAGCAGAGTGAAGAGGCAACTTACAGAATATGAGAAAATATTTGCCAACCCTGCAACTAATAAAGGTTAATATCCAAAATATAAGGAGCTCAAATGACTCAGCAGCAAAAAACCAAATAATATGATTTAAAAATGGACAAAAGACCTCAACAGACATTTATCAAAAGAAAACACACAAATGACCAATAGGTATATGGAAAAGTGCTGAACATCAGTAGTTTTCAGGGAAATATAAATCAAAACCACAATGAACCATCACCTCACACCTGTCAGAATGGCTACCATGAAAAAGATGAAAGATAAGTATTGGTGAAGATGTGAAGAAAAGTGAACCGTTGTACACTATAGGTAAAAATTAAATTAGTATAGCCACTATGGAATACAGTATGGAAGTTCCTCAAAAAATTGAAAACAGAACTACCATGTGATCCAGCAGTCCCGCTACTGAGTATTTCTTCGACATACCTCAGTATGTCGAAGGGATATCAGTTCTCCCCTGTTCATCACAGTATTCAAAATAGCCAAGATGTGGAACCAACCTAAATGCCCACCAACAGATGAGTGGTTAAAGAAAATGTGCTATATGTACACGATGGAATATTATGCAGCCATAAAAATGACTGGAATCCTGTCATTTGTAACAACATGGATCAATCTGGAGGACATTATGCTAAACAAAATAAGCCAATCACAAAAGATAAATGGGCCAGGTGCGGTGGCTCATGCCTGTAATCCCAGCACTTTGGGAGGCCGAGGTGGGCGGATCACGAGGTCAGAAGATCAAGACCATCCTGATTAACATGGTGAAACCCTGTCTCTATTAAAAATACAAAAAATTAGCCAGACTTGGTGGCGGGCACCTGTAGTCCCAGCTACTCGGGAGGCTGAGGCAAGAGAATGGCATGAACCCGGGAGGTGGAGCTTGCAATGAGCCGAGATCGAGCCACTGTACTCCAGCCTGGGCGACAGAGCCAGACTCTGTCTCAAAAAAAAAAAAAAAAAAAAAAAGATAAATACTGCATGATCTCATTTATATGTGGAGCCTAAAACAGTTGAACTCAAAAGCAGAGAGTAGAATGTGGTTATCAGGGCCTGGGGGTGGGGACGAAAATGGGGAGATGTTGGTCAAAGGATACAATGTTTCAAAAAATAAATAAAAATTAAGAATTAACAGTAGTACTTTCTAAATTGATTATTTTTTAAACTTTTAGGATTGCTTTTACTGGAAGGAGGAGAAATGGTACCTACAAGATCCCCCAGGCAACCTGCCAGTCTATGGATGCAGAGCCACACCGTGGAGAAGCAAGTATGATGAAGGGAACTGCGGGGTCTGCCATGCCCTGCTCTGCCTGTATCAATGCTGGATGAGTTAAGAAAATTTAACAGCTAATGAAAGCAGGAAAATTATCATTTATCATCTGGAAAATCCACAAAGTGCCTGGAAATTCTTGGCATTTTCTGGAATGCTTCCTGCCAATGCAAACACGTGTAATTTTTTATAAACGTGTTCAACACCATCCCAATGTGTTTTACTATGATTAAAAGCACTTCAAATTGTTCCAAATTTTCCTCTAATCCAAAATGCACTCCTGGGGGCTGGCAGGGGTCAAGCAGGGAGCAGTCTGCTGAAACAACACTAAATGAATGTCAATAAATACTCATTATTCCAAGAGGAAAAAAAATGTTTTATCTATCTTGGAAAACATTTTTTTAAAACTTAAGTAAACCTGAGGCACAAAATCGCTTAAAAATCTATATCTCTAGGGAAGAGGAACTAAAAGGGGAAAAAAACCCTATTCCTTATCGAAATGATGAGAGTAAGAGTATTGCATGGCATGAACAAAGTACTGAAAGAGATTTCCGTTTGACCCAGTCACAGCCCACCTTGGAGATTTGCTGCAAGATTTCTGGGCTGCTCCAGCCTCCACATTAAAGAGCCCTTGGCTGGGAGGAAGCCCTGCTCTTTTTCAATGCCCTCACTCCAAATTCCAGTGTCACACAGCAGTTCCATCATATTAACTTATTAACTTCAGAAATCTCAGGTCAAGAAAAAGTATTGCAGTTATCTGTGAAAAATGTATGAAAATAACTCAGAGAAGGGATAAAACAGGGAAATCAGCTATTCAAAGAATAAGACAGGTTTGGTCACATTTTATAACAGATACTTAAAGTATTTATCATAAACAAATAGACCCTTTGGCTTTTCCCAAAATCCCATTCCTCACCCCTTAACTTGCCACACTGAGTCCAGAGTAGTATAAATTGACAGTTCGTGTTCTTGAGGTTACAGACTTTATGCATGACTCCACTGTAAATATTTGATAGGATCTATTTTGGCATTTATTAGGAATCAAAAGTGCAATTCTGAGAGCTTGAATTAGTACCTGTGATAATTATTTATTTTTAAAGAACCAGGAAAGGTAGAAAATTAGTTGCCTGTCCACGGGGATCTTATAATTTCTTAGTAGCCAAATATCAAAGGTTTTACAAACAAATTTAAAAATCATCCACTTTAAGTGGAGTGAACCTTTTATCTGACGAGTTGGTTGGTTGTTGTCTTAACCATCTGCCACTGCGTGTGATGGGGTTTTACATCTCAGGAGTGTGGGCAGGTGCTCAGAGCTCATCTCACAGGTGACTTGGGAATACTGAGCCCCTCGGCGCTAGAAACTGGGTTTCTTCCCACGGGCTCCTGCACTGCAGTGGAAAACAGACAAACAAGTAGACAAACAAGAATGCAAATTGGAGATTTGTGATTTGGTGTTTATAAACCACAGAGTTCTTTCCCATAAGAGGATAGGAAAGATATTTCAGAAGTTGGCATTAGTTATTAGTAGGTATCATGGTAGTAACAGTGTCAGGTAAAAATGTGACAAGCATTTAGAACCCCTCTCCCATTACCTCCCAAGGGGAGTCTGCACAGGCCCTTGTTTTCCTTGCTGGATGTGTGAATGACTCCCTGCATAGAAAAGCTAGGAGGAGGTTTTCTGAATGACAGTGGGGCCCCACCCTTGCTGGAGAACACAGGAGGAAAGGAGTGAGAGGGCAGGGGGCAGCTGAGAGTGTGGGCCTGGGCGGGAAAGACACGAAGACCATGCTGTTGAGTGAATTTCAGCGACGCTCTTTCTACCAGAGAACACCTGCATTTCTTTTAGAGGCTTCCTGGAGTGTGTGTGAATGTGAGTGCATGTGTGTGTGAATGTGAGTTCGTGTGTGTGTGCCCTGACACAGCATCCTAGTGAAAGGAGCCTTAGGGAAGGAACATGGCGCCCGGGTCTTTTCTTAGTTGCAATGTCTTTATTTACTGAGTGTTTTCTGGATGCCAAGTTCTCTGGTATTCCCCTGTGAGTCATAGACCAGCAAACGGAAGAGCCTTGTCTTTCTTACTCCAATGTCTGTGATTTTAAAAACCACCCCCACTAAATTACAGGGCAGAGAATTTCTCCCAGCAAAATCCAATTTGGGACTAAAATCATGGAAATGGGTTCTCAGGGGTGCCCGTGGCGCCCCCTACTGGAACTACTGATCCTCACCCCCTCTCCCAACTGCAGCATCATAACTGCCACATGTTGGCCAAGCAGAAGCTCGCACTGGGCTGGCTGGCTGGCGTTTGTGGAGGCCACCGACTGACCGGAAGAGCCTGGACACGGCCCTGAGGTCCCATCACTCCTCCATCGGATCCTGCACCCACCAGAAGATGCCTAGAGAGAAACGTCAGATTAAAGATTGTAAGATGTTAGGGAAAGCAAAGATTGTAAACGTGCCATTTTCCCCCAAATCCAGGAAATCTTAGCTTTCTTGTAGCAAATAGTAAGAAAACCTTTAAGGAAGCAAACGAAATGTTTGCCCGACTGTCATCAGGCTTCCTGCAGACAGACACAAAAGATCCATGAGCATGGAGCAGTGAAGGAGATGGGAAAATGTGTTCAAAGTAGTCGCGCTTTCCTTTCAGGCATCGGAGAGTGCTCCATCTACTTCCGGGGCGCCTGGTTCTGTGGGGAGACCGGGAAGGACGAATTCCGAGTGTTGTTCATTGATGACATGAAGAAATGGCCATGCAGGAAAGATAACTGATGAATCAAAGAACTATTCTTCACCCCACGGTGCCGCGGGAAGCTTTGTGGCTGTCACAGATTCACCGGGAACTCGGTGTTTGGTGACTTAGTCTCCTGTGTGATGATGTCTCAGATGGGACCTTTGGCAGATTATAGGTCATGTGAGTGAGGCCCTAAAAACAGGATTAGTGCCCTTAAAAAAGAGACATGAGACAGCTTCCTCTTCCCCAGCGCCTTCCCCACCAAGAGAGGACATGGCAAGGAAACGCTGTCTGCAAACCTGGGGGAAGGCCCTCACCAGACACCAAGTGTCCGGGTGCCTTGACCTTGGACATCCCAGCCTCCAGAACTGGAAGAACTGTTTGTTGTTTGAGCCACTGCGTCCACAGCTTCTGTTGGAGCACCCTCGGCTGGCTAAGACAGTAACAAACATTTAAAGAGATTAAAGAACCTAGAAATTCTGGTAGAAATGAGTACACAGCATCTACAGTCAGCGTAGCCAACATTTACTAAACTCCAGGATGTAGTAAATAAACAATGAGCGACGGGTGGGTTCTGCTTATGCCAGAGGACTCTGGTTCTGCAAGGGCAGGTAGGTTGGCTTTGAATCCCGTCTGTACCCAGACGCAGGGTCTTCAGCAAGTCACTTAGCTTCTGTGCTCTGTTTCTCTCTGCATGAAACGGAGGCCACAGCATCTAAACGAGAAGGTAGGGTTGCAGATGGAACACCACACTATCTACAAGAGGTGCTTAACCCGGGATCTGTGTCTAGTTGGGGAAGAAAGAGGTGCCATTTTCTTTTCCATGCTCGGCAGGGAAAGAACCCCTCACCGTCTGCCGTGCCATGGCTCTGGTGCCTCCTCCGTCTCCGCAGTGATGTGACTGGCAGACAGCATGCTTCCGGGCGCTCCTCCAACCCGTCCCACCCATAGCTGCAGTGCTCACAGTTCTCAGGCAGCCTGGACTCCACAGCCAGGAGCAAGGCTGGCTGAGACTCTCCAACAAGCTGCTCTTTTCCGGGCACTGTGCTGAGCACCACGCAGACATTTAACCCTCATATGAACTCCAGGAAGAAGGATGATCATTCATTGTCCAGTTCAGGACAGAGATGGTGCTTAATCTCTCTATGGCCACAGAGTTAAACATCCAGCCAGAATTCAAACCCATATTTCCTGACATCTCAACTCCTAATTAAAATTACCTTCAGGATTCCTGGGCAAATGTACCAGGCGTCTTGCTGTGGCACCAAGGGGCATGTGGGGGAGGCCTGGGCAGCAGGTGCCTCCTGCCACTTCACGTCGGTGGCCGTCCCCTGGCCCAAGCACCCCACAGACACCCAGACATCACATTTTTAATTATAATAGTTATTTCACTTTTACTCTGTACATACATATGTCCGAAGTGCCTCCACAGAGACTTGCAGAAGTTTACAGAAACTGAGAGAAAATAAAACAATGTAGAAACGTAAGCCAAACATTGGTGTCAGAACCCACCGACTCACCTACCTTCACAGCCCAGGAGGATCTCTCGGTGCTGATGATACCCTGCCCAGGACAGAGGCTGGCGGCAGCTGCTGGAGGCACAGAGGGCACTGCCTCTGCTTTATGGGCCCTGCCAGCCTCGGGCTCAAGGAGACATCAAAAATCTCTGCTTGTATTTGAGCCACAAAAGCCTGTCATTTTTCTTAAATATCCTCATGTAGCAGGAAATCCAGTCATCCTACAACTTGACTCTTGTCCCTTCATTTGCAAGAATATGCACTGAAGTTTGACCCCGTAACTGATACGTTTTGCCTGTGTTCCACCCAAATCTCATCCTCAACCGTAGCTCCCATAATTCCCACGTGTTGTGGGAGGGGCCTGGTGGGAGAGCACTGAATCATGGGAGTGGGTCTTTCCCATCCTGTTCTCGTGGTAGTGAAGAAGTCTCACGAGATCTGAAGGTTTTATAGCTGGGAGTTGCCCTGCACATGCTCTCTCTTTGTCAGCCGCCATAGAAGACCTCTCTTCGCTCTTCCTTTACCTTCTGCCATGACTGAGGCCTTCCCAGCCATGCAGAACTGTGAATCCATTAAACTTTTTTTTTAATAAATTACCCAGTCTCAGGTATGTCTTTATCAGCAGCGTGAGAACAGACTAATACAGTAACCTAGAACACCTGTAATGCAGGTGAGCTGGGGTTGACCTTGCTCTAACCTTCTAAGGAAAGCCCATCCCTCCAACGTGGGTATAATTTTGCTAGCCACTCCCATCTTGAAGACAGTAATAAAAGACAATTCCTGATCTTGAAAGGGAAACAGAGAGACAGAAATGCACCATTCCCCTGATGATTTGACATGGGCAGGAAGAAAGCCATTCCTTTAAAAAATATATCAGCAACAACAACAACAACGGATTCTAGGGATTTTGAGGGTATTTTTAAGGGAACCAAAAAGATCTCTCTGACTTGGTGGAAAGCACAGGCCATATGGCCATGCCAGCAGGGCCATTCTGCAAGGAGCGGGCGTGGCCCCTGCTCAGTAATGTGCAAGCTCCAGGCCACATGCAGTGGGGCCTCTGAGGACGACATCCCAGCAAGTCTATTTGGTGGCCTTTGCACAAAAGTCTGTGAATCTATCCTTCCTCTTGGGTAAGGGGAGGGGTTGAATATGAAAGGACCTCATTTTTCCCTCCATGTAGCTCTCCCACAGTCACAGGCTCATGCCTAGACCCAAGCCATGCAAAGCCTGAGCACCAAGCTTTGCAAGAGCTGGCAGCCTCTGCAGGGAGACGAGAAGGGGAGGCACAAAGAGCCTGCAGGAGAACTTGCTGGAAATGATCTACAGAGGGAGGCAGGGCAAGAGACCACACCCCACAGAATCCCGGCGTGCAGGAGCTCGGGGCCAGCTCCCCTCCCAGGGAAGTCAGGGCCTGAGGAACGGCACTTGGAGGAATCTGCCAGGCACCGCGGGCTTAGGCCATTGTGCACAGCACATGGGCCACTTATTTCACGTTTCCAGGGAGGGCCATTCACGTAGACCACCTTGCGGACAGGGCCTCTTGGAGAGGGACAGCTTACATTTACGTAATCCTCTGGGTCAGCCCTGAGACCTCCTACTAGACCCACGCACCAGCAATCTCACACTCCAGGTCCAGGAGTATTGACCCCTTCTCACTCACCATTCACTGGAAGAGGATATCTAACCATGGGAAGGACGGGGATAAGTTACCAGCACCGATGCTTCTGTACTGCTTGGTTTAATCATCGACATCAACCCCACCTTCCTACACACATGCTTCTGTGAGACACTCAGCGATCCTTACACAGGTGACAGGCATGGATGTCCATTTGGAGCAATCACTTTGGCTTTTATCCTGAAAAGGCAAAATCTTCAATGATCAATTATCTTGCGATTTTGAGAGTTATAACTGCAAGAGGATAAACCAAGTGCCACAGTTTAATTATACACTTAAACCTAGATTTGCATAGTTCATCTCGGTATCTATAAAAATTATGATTAGGTGCCTAAAATTGTATCTGCCATTTGCAACAGATACTGATATCTTTCTATATGGACGGAATTCAGCAAAACGCCAATTCGCTAATGTGGAATTTTCCTTAAAAAAAAAAAAATTACCTTGGTTCATGGCTGGAAAGTCTCCACCCTTGTAGAGGTGAGCACATTCCGTTCACAGCCCACAGGACGCTGAGTGGATTCTCCCAGCTGCAGCGCACACCTCAGCCCGCTCACGATCCTAGAGGTGTGGGCAAGGGCTGATTCCAAAGACTTCAGTTTTGCAGGAAAGTACGGACAGGAAAATAAGTCTAGAACCAGGGACACGGTTATCCCCCAGGCACCTTCCTCACTCACTGGAACCCTTGCTGCGACCCGGCGTGGAGCTGCGCTAGCCGGCGACCTCTGTCAACACCAGAGCAGGCTGATGCAGACACAGGCAGAGTCTTAAGCTGTGGGCAACATTTGACCAGGCGGGCAGAAAAATTCTTCCGACCTTATTAGGAGTTTCAGAGCAAAGCTAGTTTTACTGCAAATATAGCACTGGGAGTATGTTTTCCAGTCTATTGTTAAACTTGGCCTCCTGGGAGACAACTTTCATATCCTTATCTTTCTTTAGCCTATGACTAGCCTGACATTGCTGAGCATGCCATGTGTGCGATGTGTGTCTTCCACTACATCACTGAAGAGTCACCAAAAGTATGAGGAAAAAATGATGTTCAAGCATCAACTGTATCTAAAAGTGCATTGTTTATAAACAATCCTCCAGCCAGATTGAGAAATATTAAAGGCTCGTATTTGAGAAATTACACTCCCCAAATGGGATATTGGCAGCTCTTCCATTTTTCTCCTTGTTCTTTACAGGAGACACAGAAGCTGTCACTTCTCAGGCCCATACCCAAAAATTATCTGGTCTGAATATTCTTCTGTGATGCAATTTTGCAGGGTTGACATAATCAGGGTGGCATAATTCAATTTTTTTTAATTAGCCATTTATTATAGTGTGGGCAAGACATAAACATTTCCATGAATCACACACGTAAATAACGGAAACTAAAAGTAAAATGAATTTTCCCTATTGGCAGGGTAATAGTTTAATTGTACACAGTTATTCTTACATTAAAAGCTGCATACCTGGCAAGCTTTATCGGGTAACAGGGACTTTTAAATGTGCCAATGTTTCTACACAAGTAACGTGGGTCAATTGCAAAAGGGATAACCATAATGATTAAATCATTAAAATTTTGTCTATGCTTCACAGAGCATAGAGAAAATTAACTTCCCACCAACCTCATTTTTCTGCTGAACATGAAATAATGATTTTCTGCCAGTATAATTACAAAGCTAACATCTGATAGAGTCAGCATCCAGGGGGATTATCACAGGCATGAGTATTAGACCTCATTACCAGCTTGACTGCAAAATTATTACATCTTGTAATTGGAGGGTGAGATTTATATACAGATTGGCCGGGTTTCTGTAAGATTGTAATTACAAGCTTCGTTGGTTTGCTACTTATCACACGGTGCAGGAGGCGGCAAAAACAAGCAGAGGGAAGGCCATTTCATTAAGCTGTAACCCTATCAAGGGAGGAGCGCTGTAACGTCCCTGTATTTATTAGGCCAAACAGAGCTGTTTGCAGAAGGGGAGGCCATTTATTACCTCCTGACAAATGGGATTTCATTTATTTAACCTCGGTGATCTATTTCAGTAAAATGTACAAACGAGCCATCCATT